TGTGCACCGAGCCGGACTCCAACCTAGGTGTTGTTGGTGAGAGGTTGAACGTCAAGGTCACACGTTGTACCAAGGAGGTGAACAATTTAGAGTATGAAAGCACCACATCACACCTGAAGAACTTCATTCGTGAACACCCAGGCATTGATTTGTGGGCAAGCCTCCCTTGTGGCCCGTGGAGCCAGTGGCAGTACCTCAATGCACACCGCTATGGGGCAGAGTTCAGAAAGAAGTTGGCCAAGTCGAGAGACTTGTCGTTGAAGCTGCTTGATCGCTTTTGCGAGCTTGCTAGATGTGTTGTTGAGCGTGGTGGGGACGTTCATTTTGAATGGCCTAGACATGCATTGGGTTGGAAGCAGGCTGCATTGTGCCAGCTCATTCGAGACATTGGCATGACAGTGGTGAACTTCGATGGTTGTGCGGTTGGACTTGTTGATCGGCAGGGCACACCGTTCCTAAAGAAATGGCGAGTGGCGACAACAAATGAGAACCTCGCAAAGAACCTGAACGAGTGTCGTTGCAAGCATGGTACTGATTTTAAACATGCACCCATCACAGGTTCCAATACGAGCGCAACTGCAAAGTACCCAGAGATCATGTGTGAAATCGTCTTCTCTTCTTTGTTTCCTGACCTTGTTTTCAGGGAGGTGCCCGCCATGCCCGTTTGTGAGGCAGCTGTTTGCGTGGTTGCACAGGAGCATGTCGAGAAGGAGCCAAAAGAGCAGGTCTACCGTGGACCGTTGATCATTGAGACCGTTGATACCTTTGCAACTCCCGCCGAGCTTGAAGATGACCTTGCTCCCGCGGACGACGAAGCTGAACTAGCAGAATCGAGAGATGCTAGGTTGAAGCGTGAGGCAAAGAGCTTGGACCACATCACGACCCACGCAAGGAAGAATCCGTTTTGTGAACATTGCGTGCGTGGTCGAATGTTGAAAAGATACGCTCACGGGGTTCGGCCTGAGCCTAGCGACGAAGCGTACGAGCGCTCGGCTGCTTTTGGCCGTGTGCTCGAAGCCGACCATATGTTTCCGTCGGAGGAAAGCGTGAGCAACGCTGGGGAGAAGGTGGCACTGGTGATCGTTGATCTCTTCTCCGGTCTAAGCATGGCCTATCCGGCCAGAGACAGAACCGAAGACTCTTGTTACAACTCACTGAAACACTTCGGTGGCCATAGGCTCAACGGGGATACTGGTGTCATTTTTAAATCAGATGCAGCCGGTGAGTTGACAGGTGCAGCATCCAGGTTGTGCTGGACAGTGTCTCCGAGCATCCCTAGGGATTGGCCTCACGCAGCCCACGTCGAGCGTGAAGTGCGTGCATTGAAAGAGTTGCGCAGACCTGCGCATCTCCAGGCCGGCTTCAACAAGAAGATGTGGCCGATCTCCGTTGTTTACACCGCAAAAGCTCGTGCCTTTTGGTCGCCTTGTGTGATTCGTAAGCATGAGCGTGGGACGGAGATTGAGGAGTTCAAGACTGGTAAGACCCGTTGGGAGGTTTGCACAGGTGAGCCCTTCTTTGGTATAAAGTACCCTCTTGGTGCGCTTGTCTTCTACAGGGCCAAGAGCGATGGAATGGCCGCTCCGACTACAAGACCAGGTTTGTTTGCAGGTTGGCGTGTTGACTCTGGCTTGCGATACCGCAACGTGGTACAAATTGTTGATTATGAGGCTGTATGCACAAGAGCGCACTTGCATTGGAGTCCCAAGGACCTGCATGAGAAGGAGGTGTTTTTCCCTCCTGTTGAACACATTGAGTTTCCATTGTCCAACGCAGCGATGAAGGCGTTGAAGGACATGTCTGACCCTGAAGTTGAGGTGAAGAAGAAGATCTATGGCAGATCTCTTGAGTCGGGCGTGCCCCCATATGACATTGACATAGATGCTTTTCCGGAAGACACCCCAGTAGCACCCCCACGTCATGCATACATTACTTTTTCACGTTTGTTGGAGCATGGTTTTACAAAGGGATGCCCTGGATGTGATGGTGGCCACTACCGCCACAACAAGGCATGTCGCGAGCGATTTGATGCCATCTTCTCTAGAGAAGCTGCAGCGCCACCCACACCGGCGCCAGATGTCGGGGCACCAAGAACACCTGGACCGCTTCCAATGCCAAAGAGTTCAGCAAAGGCTTCTTCATCTTCCTCCACAGGAGCAGCAGAAAAGGAACATTGGGTTGAGCCGGAGCCAACCGAGGGTCCGGAGTACTCTCCTGATGAAGTTCCCGAGGGATATGTCCCACCGGAAGATGTTGCAGCTGGGTTCGCCCTAGTGACAAGACAGCTCACACGGAACGAAGTGTTGTCCCGACCTGATGCACTGCAGGCGATCCGCAAGGAGTTCGATGGCGTTGGTTCCATGGGAACATGGGAACTTGAGTCGGTTGATGAAGAGTTCCGTGTGAAAGAAGCTGCGTTGCAGAGTGGAGAAACCATCCACATTGCAGACTTGCTTGCTATTTGCCGTGAGAAGCATGTTGAGTTGGCCCCAGAGCTGCGCGCGCTGAAGGGTCGCGTGTGTTACCGTGGCGATTCTGCAAAGACGGCTGAAGGGAAGCTGGCGCTCTACCAGACGCTAGCTGCATCTCCTGCTTCAATCGTTGCAGCCAATAGCGTTATTTCTTTTGGTCCTTTTGAGGGACATAAGTTGTCGTCGGCAGACGCCGTCAAGGCGTACCTCCAATCGGAACTGAAAAGTTTGGCTGCCACATACATCCGTCTCCCAAGAGAGTTATGGCCTGAATCTTGGTACACCCCAAGTGGCTACCCTCGTTTCAAAAGGCCAATCATTAGATTGCGCAAATCGCTGTACGGACACCCAAGGCTGGGGCCCATTGGCAACAGTTTCTTGAAGAACAGTTAGTCTTAGGAGCAGTCAAGGTCGAAGAGTTCGCATCCACCTTTACTATTCCCACCTTCGGAGGATTGGCGTTGGTTGTCTACGTGGACGACTTGATTCCCTCAGGACCAAGTCAGTGGCACGAGCCTTTCTGGGAGGCGTTGGGTGAAAAGGTGTTGATTGATGACATTGGACCGTTGGGTCGCTTTCTTGGTCGACACCACTCCACTGTCGAAGCTGATAACACAGAGTTCTTTGGCTTTGACACGCGTGCTTAACGCTGAGGCTACTGTTCAAGAGTATTTGAGGGTTGCAAACGGCCCGAAGATGAAAGTCGTTGCATCACCATTTCTCAGCAAAGGGTTCGTTGGAGCAGATGAGCGTGGTGCTCTGGCAGCTTCTGCCAGCAGCATTTTGATGAGACTCATGTGGTTGGCACGCCTTGCTCGTCCCGACCTGCTGAGAGTTGTCACTTGGTTGGCGACCATGGTGCAGTCCTGGACGCAAGCTTGTGATGCGTACTTGTACCGTGCCATGTGCTACCTCGAGTGAACCAAGAACGCTATGTTGCTTGGGCATGTGCGTGATGCGCCGGAGCATGTGTTTGTTGAACTTTTCGCAGATGCAGACTACTGCGGAGATGATGAACACACCCACAGTACCACTGGTGGATGGCTACAGTTGTTTGGCCCGCGGACGTCGTTTCCGTTGGCATGGCTGTCAAAGAAGCAGACGGCTACGTGCCGAAGCACGACGGAGGCAGAAACTGTCGCACTGTCGTATGTGCTCTTTGAAGAGGGCTTGCCATTGGTCGAGTTGTATTCCGCAATGCTTGGACGTCCTGTATTGTTGAGGCTTCGCGAAGACAACACTGCATGCGCGAAGGTCGTAACAGCTGGATACTCCAAGAAGCTGAGGCATCTCAAACGCGTACATCGCGTGAGTTTGGCTTCAGTAAAGGAACAGTTGGACCGCGATGACGTGGAACTGAGCCTTGTCGGAACAAGCGACCAGAAAGCCGATGCTTTCACAAAAGCAGTCGAGCCTGCACTATGGCCCAAAACCCTCCAAAACCTTGGAGTGCACCTTGACGGGTACACCATCAATCACACATCAGGCACTGGCCTGAAGTTGGACAAGCAAATGGCTTTGCAGCCCGATGCACCAACGACAGATGTAGCGACAGGACCTCAGGGCACGACAGGCCCTACCCAGCCAGGGAAACGGCAGAAACACAAGCCGAAGAGAATGCCTCCATACAGTGTACCACAGAGCCTTTCTGATACAGCTGGATAGCCCGGGATTCAGAACTGATCCCAAGCCGTCGAGCAGCTCAGGAGTCAGAGGGGGGAGATGAAATCCCTCAGCTAAAACAACCTCCAGATGAACTGAGCTTTGAGTGAGGCTTGTATGCTTACACGTATAGTGTGGTAAGAGGAATCTAGATGCATGGTTGACTTACGTCATGTAGCATTTCTGGACCACTTTGTCCTAGGTTTGAATCACCATGTAAAGAGTTGCATAGTCTGGAATCGGTATGCTACAGTAGCATTGCCGTTGTGAACTGAAAGACATCTTGCCAACAACGTTTGGCTCAAGGACTTGGAAAAGGTGCAAGGGTCGCGTTGCATGTCTATCGTCGTATCGTCCGCTGCCTTTGCATAGGAAAAGCCAGGTTTCAGAGTTTCAACTGATAGAAAGGAGAATAAGAAGGTAAGGGCACCTTCAAATTTTAAGTTATCATATGAATATATCCTATCTAGTTTAGTTTGGGACTCAACTTGACCTTCAAGATCAGGTCACCAAGATGGGGATTGTCCTTGCGACCTCTAGTTCCCCTCTGAAGAGATTTGGGATTGATCGATGGATGTTGGGTTCATTGCCATTTGCAGATCCACTTCTTCTCCCCACTCTCAACAGAGACTCTGTTGAGCGCGTAGCGTACATGCGGTGCTTCCTTGCTTTTCATGGGCATTCTTCCGTTTTCTTCGGGGCGTGTATCGGTCAAGAGTATCAGTTGTTTTCATCAATGGTCTATATAGAAATCCATACTAGGACCCCTCGTCTATTCTTTTTGTGCTGCTCATCCTTTCAAGCCAGCTGTGACACGCGCCATCCTTTGTTGACATAGATGTGTCCATTGGCTTTCAACCATTGGAGGTGGGTCGACCTGCTGAGTGTGGTCCTGTTCTAGTTTCCCTGCCATGATCACCCGAGAGTGTCAATGGCCATTTGCAGAAAAGGGCTGCACTGGAGATTGGAGCATTCGTGTGTTGAGTTGCAGTTTGCACGAGAATTTCTAGGACGTTGGGTTCCACCAGCTGGTGACTAATCTTCCTGGAACTACTTACACACAGAAGCACGGCTAGAATCTGACTAAGTGTGCAACATGAATTCAGTTGATGGCAGTTAGATCACACACGCGATTTGCTCCGGGCCCGGCTTTCAAGTGCTTTTCTGCAAGCACTTTGACCATTTTGACTGCACTTACTGCTGTACGACAAATTCTGCTGCAACTGTGGCAGATGTTCGCGGCTATTTGGGCCCAGCTACAACTGTGGATCAGCATTGGAGACAAGAACAAGTTGACAAGATGTAGTAATGTAGTAGAGGGATAAGATGGGAGAAGTGAACATCATCGTGAACTCGGAAGGTCACATGATTAAGTACTTTGACCAATTTGTGTTTTCGAACCATGCCGGTGCCCACGGGTGGTCGCAGTGAGTATGAGAAGACCCTGAGCTCGGATTCTTGTCTACAAAAGAAGCGTATTGGCCTGGGAATGGCCTTGGCAGCACCTAGGACCTAGGACCTACATTGATGTTTGTATTGAGATATGAGGCGGATACTGAGGGTGAGACACCACAGCCTTGACAGAACTCATTGCAGCCAGGTCACTTTGCCATACTACCTATCAATTCTATGTCCGCAGGTGAGCCCCGAAAGGAGATACTTTTGGTGATGATTTGATTGAGCCAAACCCGCCTCAGGAACTGCAGAAGCTCCATGCTGTCTTTTTGGAGCAACATCAGAGCCCTGGTCTCCGCGGTCTCGAGAGGGTGCCAAGGGGGGTGTAGCAGATTCTACCACTCCAAACTAGAGAGCAGTGTTTGAACCGACTGGCAGGGCCAGGTGGAAGTTCCATAGTAAACAGTGGGGCCACATCCAAGGTGTGGATGAGACATGCAAGGTATATGTTTGCTTCCGTGTGCCCAAACAGAATGCAGTCACTTTGTTTGGACAGCAAACTTGAGATTTCATGTGAGCTTCGTACAGACTGTGTACGTGTAAGATATATTCATGGTATGTTAACCCCACCTAAGCGTGCCTTTTTCGTTGCGTGCAAAGAAACCAAAAGCACACGCTCATGTCTGGCAGTTGCACTGTTTTTGGTGCTGTGCATTCTATGCTAGCTGTAATGCAACATAACGTTTGAGTGTGACATCCTGATGCTTAGTTTGATGTACAAGACGCAAGTCCAAAACTCCACAAAACCCCGGAAAAGGTGTCTGGTGACTTTGAACATCTGAAATCGCATTTAACCAGAACTGATATAGTTATATAATGTATATGATTTCCATGTATATATATATATATCCTGCTTTGTGCATTGCAAGGTGTATGATGGTCGAATATAACATCAGACTGGAAGGTTCTGGTAGGAACCGCTCCGCAGAGCCTGGTTCATAGACCAATAGTCGAGCTCCAAAGCGATGGCCTCCAACCTACGACCTACGAGCTCCTCTAGTCTCCTCCAGTCTCCCATTCAAAGATCTCTAGTCTAGAGTTTGGAGAGTTTGGAGAGAGGTATGCTGCCCACTCAATGTGCCAGCCAGATTCGCTCAGGAAAGATGTCGAGATGAAGGTGAAGAAGGCAGCCGCCAAAGCCTTGCGAGGCAGGGCAGGCGTTCTGTGGCTTAGCTTGCCCCAACAGAGCCTGGATGAGTCGACCGATCGAAGCTTCCGAGGGCAGAAGGTAAGGGTCTCGGAAGTTCTGAGGACGCCGAGGTTGGGTCTTCGACACCCACAGAGGCTCCTAGCTGTTTGTTCATTTTGTACAAGTATTACCCCAAAAGTCAATCTCTTTTTGCATTCTCCAAAGGTGAGTACGTCTGTAAGTATATATATATATATGTACACGTGTTACAGTAAGAATGTGGCAATCTACAATCATCTATCACCCATATTTTTGGCCGTATGGTAGGCAAAGAAGAGAGATTGGATTTAACCCCCAAAACATGTTCAAGTTTCTTTTTGCCAACGCAAAGATTCGACACCTGACCATATTTGCTCATTTGACAGCGTTTGGTGGCATGACCAAAAGCATTGCCGAGGGCATTTGAGAGAAAGATCCAAAAGTGATTCCTGGGCCAGTCCGGTTGCTTACACATCGGCCATGCGCTGCAGGGCTAAGCCGGGAGGCAGCGACGTCCGGTTCAACAGCGGAGGAACGTCCACCTAAGACTTTGGAAGAGTGCCTCTGTTGCAGTGGAAAGGGGTGCCAGGTACTCACAGCTGCTACAGCAACTCACTGTTGACATGTGAATCTTTAGGGAGGATCTGCAAGGTTCTGGCTGCCACACACTCCAAGCGAACCAGGGTGGTGTCTCTTTACTTCAGGGACTTGACGACTTGTGATTACTTCGTTATTATTCTCTCATGTTCCTGCGTAAGACTTCCAGTCCAAAGCCGTGCCACTGAGGATCGACAACTCTGTCCATGAGGCAGATTTTGATGAGTCGTTGACATGCCACTGGCCACAGGTTGGATGAACATGGACATTTCTTTCTTTACTTTAGGTTTGAGGCCATCGCTATGAGGTATATCTAAGCACATATATATATATATTAAAATATAATGATATATACATGTTTGGTCCGTCCAGCAAGAAGAACAGAGAGGCTGATCGTTTGCATCCTACTTGTACTGTTACAGCAACCCCCCTGCACCTTTTGGCATGCACAAAGCACTCTAGTTGAATATGCTCTTGCTGTCGATGTTCAACGGTATCTCTATATGATTTCTTTTGCCTATATCCATCCTGACGCCTTGTATGAAGGATGACTTCTTTTGACATACATGACATGCTACCCAGTGCAAAGGTTTTCTTGTGGCTTACTAACGTTCTTCCCATCAGACACCAGCTACAAAGAGCATCCAAGCTTCAACCCTGGCCTCAACTTACCCAAGCATGGTGATCTACGGGGATGACATAGTCTTGTCGGATGCTATTTCCTGATTTAACCTCAACTCCTCGCTCTGTGGATCTTTGGCAAGGCTTACATACTTTCTCGCTTCCCAACCCCTAAGACATTTAAGGGTGATAAGAAGGCTTGACAGGGTAAATCTGAAGGCTTGACAGGGTTTGAATGGACTTGATCCTGCAACGTTTGCATAGGGTAGAGGACGCTACTAGGAGCAAAGGGCATCGCTACTAGGAGCAAGGACGCTACTAGGGGCTCCTGGCCTTACTACTAGGACCAGGATGCTGTAGTGGAGGATCCCCGAGAACACAAAAGTACCCGAGCGCAGCTGAGGTCAGAAGTGGTTGGAATTCTCTGAGAAGCTTCTGGAGCTGGAGGTGAAGACGTCTCATGGGTTGGATTTGCGGCTGCCTGCAGCAGCTGCTGGTGGGTATGATCATAGTGGCTGTAGTGGACAGATCAAAGCTCGACCCCTGCAACTGTAGGCTCGTTCGAGATCCAGTAGGTGGTTATGCTTATTCATGGTGGTGCGGACTACCAGGCTGCCAGATAAGCTGGTCAGTACGGAATCGTGTTTTTCCTAAGAAGTTCCTAAGTTCGCCGAAGAGGTCGAACAACCGGCTCAACTCTTGGACGAGCATTTTTTCCGGCGTTTCGACTCACTGCCAAGAGGCACATGTCCTCTGCTTCCGGCCTTTTGTGTGGAACGCACCGACAAGAGACATTCAGGATTTGCCCTTGTCATTTCTGGAGTCAGGTTTTAATACTTGGTCCTTGTTGTGGGGTGTAAGTTTGGAACACACATCAACATTTAAATGGTTTGGTTTGGTTTGGTTGTCAGGAGTAGTGAGTAACTAGAGAAGACCAAATCAAGATTCCCAGCTTTGATGCACAAGAATGCGGTGTGACCAACTGCACGGCCGTCATATGCAACCATGCAGGGAAACGATGTAAAGATCAGCTTCCTTCTGCTCAACATGATGTTGGAGCCTGAATCGCTACCCGCCCGTACCCCTTGTCCCCTTGCCTCAATCCAACATTGGTGTCTGAAGAACTCATGAGGTCCTCTAGAGCTGGGGTGTATCTCAGAAACTTGGATTCATAACCCCCAGGAAATCACCTTCAACAAACTGTTTGGTTGGGTGATGGGTGGGGCGGAGGAGTCGAGGAGGCCCAGTTTGAGCAACGCTTATCTCATTTTGGTTTTCGTCAGCGCCACGTGCCAGTCTTCCTCGGTGACTCAAGTGGATGAGCCCATTGTGGAGGACCGGAGAGTGATGAGAGACCGTCCAACCGGACAATACCAGTTGTGTCGTTTGTTCGAACATGAGACAAAAGGTACAGTATTCTGTTTTGCCAAGTGTTCATTGCTCATCACTTCGAGGCCTTTCTCAAAGAGAAAAGTTCTGTTGTGAGCCTTCTCGAGGCTTCGATAAGTTGTCTTGCTTTCTCAAGTACAATCATTACTTTGTCCGTTTTTTTCCATCTTCAGCACGACCTTTTTCAATATCTTCAAGTGGTGTGCAGGGTTGTCAAGAAAACTCAAACATGCTCAGATCGTGCCTTGCGGTCAAGCCCACAGCCAGTCCTGTTAGATAGCAGGGTTGTGAAGAGTTCACCTTTCATCCAACAACTACATGTTTTTCTGGCAAAGGGTCGCCGTTCATGATTGTTGCAAGGAGCGTGCCCCTTTTCCTTTGAACAAGCGACAAGAAGCGTATTACGGTGCTCCGTAGCTGCTCTTGGAAGAGTCTGGCATATCGGCATATCCTCCTTGGCACCTTTCTGAGCGAATCAGACCTGTCCCCAACATCGCTGATGCGCACTCAAATATAGGCTGTGAAGGGGATCCTGTAACTTTGGAGGGTCAGAGCAGGAAACAGATCTGAGGCCATTTGAGGTCCTGTGATTCACCCACAAAGCGACCCTTTGTTAGAAGAGTGCGATGACAAAGGATGGAAGTGGGTTACAGGAGAACGACGACAGCTTAATTTCTAGCGGAAGATTGTGTAAGTCACCCTGAACGCTTTAGGTGTTGCTTGGGGAGAATGATTGAGATACACATCCGTTGGTTAGTAGGCTTGGTCCTGGTCAGAAGCACAGTATTGAATGGTGGAATCTGCCACTGATTTGGCAAGGCCCTCAACTGTCAGATGCCTATAGCCAGTTTTGCATTGAGACGTGTGTGAGGAAGATTTGCAGATGCGGGCCTCCTGGAAAATCTCCTGGCAGGCGAATGGTTGAAACATCCAAAGGCATGAGAAAAATGAACATCACTGCTGGCACTGCTGGCTTTTCCAAAGACTTGGGAGAGTTCTTGTTTGGGTCTAGCCAACCAGATAGCAGTATACAGAGGTATACACTGCCTGGACCCTTAAAACGGGTTTTCATACTGACCTGCAAATTCCTCTGCATCCCCAAATACTAGGATTACTTTTTCTGCTACAATGTTTGATTTTGACTTTGAACTGTGCAGGTCATGGTGAATCATGGTTGTTTGTTAGTGGTGACGATCACAGACAAGGAATTTGACCGGCGCACTTGTCAGGAAGCGTCCACAATTCATCGGAACCGCAATTTCTTACCCTCGACACGGAGCAAGTCCTACAGTTTGAGGATGAAACTTGGCTCCTACGTTGGAGGCCATTGCTACTAGGCCATCGCTACTAGGTTAGAGGCCATCGCTACTAGGTTGTTGGGGGCCATTGCTACTAGGTTGGAGGCCATTGCTACTAGGTTGGAGGCCATTGCTACTAGGTTGGAGGCCATTGCTACTAGGTTGGAGGCCATTGCTATTAGGTTGGAGGCCATCGCTAGTAGGTTTTTCAATTTTCACGCAGGTCGTTGGCCTTGTGACCATAGGGGCTGCTCAAGCTGCTCACAGAAGGGCTTTAGATGGGCAATTACCTAAGGGAGGTTTGCGCGGATGGGACACAGATACAACAGTCTACAAGGGAGGTTTGCGAGGATTTCTCCAATTCCTGGGAAACGACTTCACCATCTTCACGGAAATCGCAGGCCTGATGCTGGTACACATTCGAGCATTTTCGATCACTGAGAGTTCTTGAATTCATATGTATACTGTATACATATATATATATGCTGTATATCACCATATATATATTTATATAGTTATAAACACAGTACATATTCATGGTCAATTTGGCTGATAGATGGTGATAGGGTATACAAGCCAGAATGAGCGCCAGGACGAGTATCAACATGCTGGATTCCAAGTTCCTAAGCACATCAAATGACCATCATCCACCATCCAGGTTTTCATGTTGTAGGAAGTTTCCGTAAAGGCAGACCCAGCATCTGCACTTTTACACCTTCACCTCTACGATGTGTAAGCCAACAGCAAGTATCACTTGGGACAACTCCCATTGCTAGCACGTCCAGCTCACGAGATGCTGCAGACTTGCGACAACGAAAGTGCTGAATCTGTTTCACGGAAAAGTCGAAGTGGTTTTCCAGTTCCTTTGCTGGTAGTGGATGATGCAAATTGGTGGCCACACTCGACCTTTTTGTGACTCCTGACCTCGCTCAGGAATGAGGTGATTCGAGACTACACATGCATTGGTCGGATGGTTTTGCCACCGCGTAGCAAGCAGCAGATGGTGTGGACCTTTTTCGGCACCATGCTAATCCTTTGGGACACTTGGTGTTCAAGTCGGAGAACATGGCTGGCATTTTGCACCGACATGATCAAGGTCCTTGGAAGGGACAGTTTAGTCGAATCTGAGCATTGGGTCCGTTTGATTTTTCCTCCCAACACAAACCCCTGGACAACAAACATCGTTGGTTTATAAAGCAGCGGTTTTGCCAAAGGTTGTTTTTGATGGTTTTCCCTGCCTGGCATCACTGATTGGTGAACTCCGCCTGAATCGTGGAGACAGCCTCCAACCTAATAGCAATGGCCTCCAACCTAGGACCTAGTAGTGATGACCTCCAACCTAAGGGCGATGGCCTCCAACTTAATAGCGATGGCCTCCAGCTTACTAGCGAATGGACACAGATTCAACTTGATTTTCCGGGTCCGCCTTTCCAAGAGTAAGGAACGCACATATATATATATATATATCCCTCTCAAGGACTCTTGACGCCGTCTTCCCAGGTGGTTTCTGTAGGGATTTGAGCCAGGAGTTCTGAGGGGAGTGTCGGAACACATAGCGGCCGAAGTGAAGAGTGTGGCTGCCAGGAAGGAAGCGTTCAGTCTTCTTTGACCATGATTTCGATCAGCTTTGCATTTGTCTGGACTGGGAGAGTTAATGCGTTGGTAGAGCATTGATGTTCGGGCCTCTCCACTAACCCGCAATCTAGCCCTTTTTGACCCGCACCGCTAAAATAGTGCTGGAACACCCAATGCAGCGGGTTGACGTTGACATTTTAGATCATGCTGTACCATCCAAAGTCAAATGCGTAGCCTCACATGAACCCAAGGCGGCTTAAGCGTTTCAATTAGGACCGCAAACACAATCGAATGTAGAGAAAGTAAGTGTTCAGATACAGTCAAAACATGTCAAAACTGGTTGGGGAGGTCCATTTTTGGTGAAGCAAACCTATAGAAACTAATCTCCAGACCGTCCAATGTCTTTTCCTGAGGATTTGATCACTATCCCCTTGGAGTTCTTTGCTTTGGGGCCCTACACCACAGATGTCTTGGGCGTGATGGGCCGGCAGCTCGGCCCCAGCGGCGGTTCTGTATCAGGGGATTGATTTTTTCTAGGTGTTTCTACCGCTCCTCTGTCACCCGTCAAAACTCTTGGCTCTGTCTCAGCTAGTTCTTGCTTTGATGGTTCAAATCAGATGCAGTGCTAGTCAATTTGCATGTTGTGGTCAGTCGCGGTCACGAGAAAGATCAATTACTGCTGTCATATACCCACCTCAGCGACCCATGAGTTGGGGCGAGAAGTCTGGGCGAACTGGTTTGCAGGGAAGCATGTGCAAAGGATCTTGTGGGACATTAGTTTTAGGGAAGAGGTGTAGCTCTAGATAGCTAGAGCGAAGTCGCAACCCATTGAAACTAGGGCCGGGAAGGAATGTCAAGTATTTGCTCTAACGTCTGCGAAGCCGTCAGCTTGAAGGCGTGGCCCAACGAGCCGGCCTCGAAGCGTGCTGAGGCTCTCAATGGCTTTCTGGATGATTGACATGCCGATGAACCTGCCGGGGTTCCCGCTTTGACCACTCGGAGCCTGTCACAGCGGGGGCGGTTGAGTTTGGTCGAGTGAAAAAGGGAGGAATGGGAGATGCATGAGGTGATTAGGTGCTAACTTCGTCATGGGGTTGGAAGATAACTATTGTTTCTTGGTGGCCACTGTGGTCACTGTAGTTTCTGTGTTTGTGTGCAGAGTAGGCTGGCATAAGCTAGGGTGTAGACAATCCCATTCCGCATGAAACCTCCCTCATCAATCCATACAACAATTTAGCACCCCGATGCACTGACTAGCGAGCAATTGAATTGGAACCACATATGCAACTTACCAACAACCAGCGAACTGGGCATGAAGCTCACCTGACACAAACGGAGCTCCACTGCTCCAACCCTATTTTGAGGCTGATCCAAGCGTGCTGATTGAGGTTCTTCGGCATCGAGAAACAGGGGAGAACCGAGATGAGAGTGATTGAACTGGCACGTGCCTACTTGCGCATCTTGGCAAATATACTGTCACTGTAATCAGATGCTCCAACAGCTCAGCAGCGTTCTCTTGGAGCAATGAACAATTCACTCACAACTACTCACAACCCACTGGATCAACATACACCAGCTGTTTGGGTCAATGCCAATGTGTTCTTTAAATGCTACACATTAATTGATCAAGCAGCATTGGGAGGACGTGTGCTATGTACGCTCGATGCACGCACATAGTATCACATAGTTATCTTCACTGTGGGAGGTTCCTACTTCGTGCTAGACGTGTTGGTCGTCTCCATTGATATCGCTCTTTTGCTGGTGGAAATTCTCGGGGAGGCGGGCAGCAGCGAAGCCAAAAGACCGTGGGAAGATCGCCCTGTAACATCACGCGGATGGTCTTTGCCGAGGGGTTCCAATTCCCACGCTTGTTCAGTCGACCTCTCCCAAAGTTCGTTGAAGGCATGTCTGTTTGTGCGCCCTGGTCCTTGGAACTTTGGAACCGCAAGCTGCCGTGCTTATACAAAGGACCTAATATTGGCTCAATGGCTAAGATCGTCAGTAAAAGGGTTCACGAGAAATTCTATGTTTTGAAGTTCATCAACTCAGATGGAAACAAGTCTGCGAAAAGTCTGGATGCCCCATGTTATGGTCATAGTCGGGCCCCTCTGCCCATCAAATCCGGCTCCCATTTTCCACAGACCGGTCGCCTTGGTCAACACCAGACTTTCTCATCCGTACGCTGCCCTCTCGTCCGTCTCAGGACGCAGACGGTGGCTTTCGCTCCGCACGGTTCCTCCGTACGGTTGGGGGCCCTGGCAGAGACCGTCTGAGGGATCGACCCTGGCCGCAACCGAGACACATCGGTGACATGGAGGGCGAAGAAACGGGACGACTTTCCTCTAGAAGCAAGTGATTTCATGTGTTATTGTGATGTCATGTTTGTTTCTTCCAGTGCCTGGAGGTCTTGTTTCCCTTACTTGGACATTGGAAGTGGTTCTTGGGAAGCTTCTTGATTGGAAGATACACACCCTGGTGTTGCTTGGGCTCCTCTATTTTAAACTTGTACACAAGGGATTCCCCTACCGAGTCACTGCGTAGGACTGCGGAGTTGTGAAGCTTGTGAGCAGAGTCTATCCTTCATTTCGATGTTTGCAAACTAGAAACATGCCTGGTCTATCACTTTATCACCAGAAATACACACAGACACTGTTTTCCAATGCTTGTTTGCAGCTGGGAGTGTGTGTGAGCACGTCAAGTCGGTACTAGAGAAGGTCAACACTGTGGAATGTCCACGGTTTCCACTTGCTTCCCTCCATGCTGGAATGCTCTTTGTACTGGTATCATTAAGGATCTTCTGGCAATTAGCCTTTGCCCACACCACGGTAATATTGCACCCACTGATTGTACCACCGATGGATGTCTCCTAGGGAAGCTCCTTAAAGTTGCCAAACAGAGTTTGTTGGAAACAACCAGGTTTGCATGAAGATCACGCAATTTATCTACCCACTCATGTTCTTTTGTTGAACACTCATCCTGTTTTTAGCTTCGGAATAGTCCCTAGTAAACCAATGTCCACGCCTTAAAACTTCCTTTTTGCCATTGCTTTGTTTCTAAGAGCAAGCGCCGACCAACGAGTCAACCTTTAACCTGCCCAGATGCGGCTGCTGCGGCTTTTACGTCTCTTGCGTGCGGTGAAGCTGCAGCAGGATTGGACCGTCCACCAGCGCGCTAAGCCGTCTCCACGGAAAACGCGTTTCACGCGTTTCACGCAAATTGCGGCCGGATGAAGCGAGAGTTTCTGGTGGGGTTCCAGGTGGATGAGCCCACATGATCCAGGTATTGTTCAAGAAAAAACCTCCTCTGAAGACGGAACTTGGATTTCTAAAGTGGCCAAGTACGCATGTCGCAGGAGCTGAAGTGTGCACATACGCATTCCACAACCTATTGATGTGAACATTCATTTCGGCAACTGCAAGTTGGTCTTTGCCACCCGTAGCCTGTGGTCGGCTGCAACACCTGGTTTGCAAAGCTGTGAAGGCCGTTTCACCGTTTGGTTGGTCGATCGCCCAGGAGCTCACCCTCTTGGCAAACCGCTTTCTGTCGGTTCATGTCTTCATGGTGGCCAAGGCCCCAAACGGCCGAACGAAGAGGGACATGGTGGGACAACATGGTCGCGCGCATGTTCTGTTTGGAACACACATTGAAGCACAACTGAGCAGCTTCCTTGCTCTTTCAGTTTCTTCAGGCGGTTCGATCTTGGACACGAACATCACTGACACTTTTGGACGAAGAGTTTTGC